TCTTTACTACTATCAGCTTCGAAATCAGGGTCGACAGCATGACTTTGTAAACTAAGGGAGATTGAAGAAAGGACGCATCACGAGGATTCGCGATGAAATCCAACTTTTTCTACTCAGTGATGCTGGCGTCCCAGTGAGCTTCATGTGATTTACGCGCAACAAAGGTATTGTGGCTGGATATGCAAATTAGTACTCATAGAAAAATTTGGCTTATTAAATAACGTACTTTCAATGGCAAAAGGCGACTCTCACGACATGATATCTTAATGACAGCTTTTAAAAAAATTTCCTGTCTATATTTTTTTCATACTGTTTCGCATTGTACGGGGACAACTGTAGTACTAACTACGGTTAAAGTCTACAGATCGAACAATATGCGCAAAAGCAACGTAACGCTTTACTAAGGAACTGCTGATTAAACTACGGCGATAGACAAAATGAATGGAAAAGAGAAAAAACTTTATAGGCGAAATGAATGATACAGACTCGCGGAAACCCAGACACCCTTCTCCAACACATAGTGGAGATAGAATTAAAGAGAAAGTTTTTGTAGATCGATTTGGTGGATAAAATTGAAGGTCCAGCAGCACGACGATGTTGGAAGAGATTGGCCGATAGGAAGAGCTGAAATCAACGGCCGCGTTCCTCTCCGCCAATCAGCACAATCACGCTCAACACTAGCGCGCCGAGAAGCCACTTCGTGCCGAAACCGAAGTTGTTACGGAAGTGTTTATTACTTGAGTTAAATAAACACACAACATATGGTATGAGAGGTTCATGACTGAAATGAAAAGTGCAAGGACCTGCACAACCCACTCGAAGGTGTGTTGTGTTGATTGTCTACAACTTCATATTTAATTGCCAAAATCATATGATTCGTTTGCATAAATAGGGTTATCAAAGGCATTCCTGCATACCTTCAAGTATACGTATGCGAATACTTGGTACGAATACAGGATTATCATCCTGTGTCCACATGTAACCGTCTAATACAGAATACATTAAAAGTGCAGACAAAATTTGAAGAAAGTTCATAATCCTGGCTGCTCGTCATCTTGCCGAGGATCCTGCACAATTACGTTAGAGTTTGAAATTTGCTATGGTGTAGGTAATATGACTACGAAGATCCCCTCGTTGTCATTGCTGTGGCCTCGCCTAATTTTCCGTAATTGTGCTTAAGAGTTTGTGCATAGGTCTAAAACTGTAACGGTTTTTAGTACAACAGTACTGGGTCGCCATCTACAGAATACTGACATTGTGGAAAATAAATTATGTCCCATGTAACTGCTATTCCTGAAATTTAATGAGCTGAAGTAAGTAAAACACGTCTTAGTGGCTTGCGTGTGGACACAACAATTTTAAGATATTCAACTTTAGCAATGAGTGCCATGTATAGTAAAAGACCGTCATGGCTTTTTAAGCGGTGGCCAAGTAACTTTCCGCTTAGAAGAGTTGAGCTTTCTCTGGATAATGCTCTCTACTAAGCATTATTTTGAGAAATCTCAAATCTTCTAGTCGGAAAGTTACCTGTCCACTGATTCTTAACAAGTATAAAATCTAACGATGAGGGTGTATGACAAATACACAACCGCCAAGGGCAATGGTGAGAGCACATGGAGAGCGAGTCAGGTTTGGTTGTATTATCTAAGGATAAAAGTAGTTTCTCCGCATTATTGCATCCATAAAAACCTCTAGGCATATAACGCACCTACTCAATCAAACATATGATGAATTCGACTTAATTAATTTCCAAGTCCAAGTCAACGCCCTTTTGGCTTTCTGCTCACGTCAGTGTTTTGCATGTCTAAGGTTGACTATGAAACCCAGACCTTACCTCGCCGCTAACGTTATTATAAATGTGGTATACCTCCAGGGACATTTTTTACTTATCGTAACCTCTTTTCCTGAATATTCTTTGTGCTTGACTAAGTCACCTGATCTCGATCGTGATATTGAGTGCGGTTTTCCCTTTTATGTGCTCCCGTCTTTCGTTTGCTTTCTTATTCAATTGCTTCTCACATTCACTCCTCACAGCGGCCAAATTCCAGACGCTGTCCAATTATTCGGTCTTAAATGGTTTCATCCAGTCTTTGCCTACAAGGCCTATCAATAGTCAGGAGAACCAGAAGAAAATTTTTTGCACAAGTTAGGCGCTATTTGATTACCTCGAATCTTGAATATGCGATATCCGGCGCGGGTATTCTGACATTTTGTTTCAGTGTGTGGTGAGCGCACGATGGGTTTTGGGATTGTTGCTGTCGCGTATATTTTAGCGCTCTTACTTACTGTGGCTCTGATTTTCCTCGTCATTTATCACGTATTATTTCCCATCATTATTTTTATATCCTAATCTATCTACAGATTATCGCCTTTGATGAACTTAAAACGGATTATAAAAATCCTATAGACCAGTGTCGAAGTCTCAACCCGGTAACCTCTTATATGTGACTAATTCCTGCAGCTTGTGCTTCCAGAGTACTTCTTGCACGGCTTTATTACTCTGTCCTTTCTTCTGACGTGGCAGGTGGTAGCACTGTTTATCAATATACCTCTTCTGGCGTACAATATACAACGGTTTGTTTTCTCCTGAGATCATCAACTATTCTTTTGGTTCAGTTATGCAAATCGTCCTGTAATGTCTGGCTTTGGATTGTACCACCCGACCACAGTGCTCACGAGCAGTGAGCTGAACAGAGCAATGAAGGAGGGTTGGGTTAAGTTGGCCTTCTTCATATTATCGTTCTTCTACTACTTATATGGGTAAGTTATCTCAACGTTACCCCCTCATTCTTACTCTTTTAGTATGATTGCAACACTCGTCTCCGCCTAAAAGGATTATGCAACCTACGCACACTGTCCAGTTTCCAATTGGTTGCATGTTTCTTGTATACAAAGCGAATTACAAATATATTTCTGCATGAACTTTTCTTTTTTATCGCCCAAAATGTCTCTGTTCTTTGAATTACGAAAGTTCATTTTTAGACAATGTCGTTAGTCTGTTCGCTGTCAAACGAAGTCCCAGAACAGCCAGTCCTCAGCCCGCGGTCAGGCCATATATTTGAGCGTCGTCTCATTGAGAAGTACTTAACGGAAACCGGATGCGACCCGATCAATCAACAGCCACTGTCACCAGAAGAATTGATAGAGGTCAAGACAGCGCCTTTTGTCCGGCCGAAACCTCCCTCTGCCACCTCAATTCCCGCCATTCTAAAAGCGTTGCAAGATGAGTGGGACGCTGTGATG